ATGATCCGTAATGTGGCGATCTGGTCAATGCATGACTTGTTCCTCCTGAATCCAGCCTGTTCCGGTCGAAGTTTTTCATCCAGGGCATGTTTGATTCTCTCCAGGATGATGCGGCTTAGTATTTTGCTTGGGATGGACAGGAGCATAATTCCGCGCCAGTTCTTGCATTGACTTAGGTCTCCTTTCTTTGGTAGTTTGGATAAGTAGCCTTTCTTCCAATCCTCGGGTACTTTGCCTTCTTTCTACACCTTCTCCAGTAGTGGCGTCATCAAGTCCGCTGTTGTCTCCGGGTCTGTTTTCAATGCTTCTGCTGGGATTCCATCTGGTCCTGCTGCTTTTCCAGCTTTTAGCATCTTGATTGCCTTCAGGACTTCTGTTCTCCTCGGGGGGTTGATGTTCACTGGTAATTCTGCTTCCGTTGTTGGTATTGTTGGGCGCGTTGTAGGTGGCTGTCGGTTTAGTAGTCTTTTGAAGTGTTCAGCCCACTGTTTCCTTTGCTCCACTTCTTTGGTGATTGACTTTCCATTGTCATCCTTCACTGGCTTAATTTGTGACGAATTTTTGCCTGAGAGGTACCTAGTTGTTTGGTAGAGTGTTGCGAGGTCTCCTTTGCCTGCAGCTTGTTCTGCCTCACTTGCCATGGTTTCATAGTACTTTCTTTTGTCTTCTCTGGCACTCTTCTTTACTCTTTTGTTCAGTGTCTTGTAGTTTGGATTCAAATCCTGTTTTTGTTGCTCATCGGTGCACTGGAGAATCTTTTGTTTCACCATCCCTCTCTCTTCTATCAGTCTCCAAGTGTCCGTAGTGAGCCATTGTTTGTCCTGTCTCTTCTTTCTGCCTAGAACTTCGATGCATGTTTAATTCCATACTGTCTTCAAGTTGTTCCAGTGCTTTTCGACGCTGACCTCTTCGCCAGTGTTGATTTGTGTCTCGGTTTTGTCTTTTATACTTGCAGTGAAGATGTCCTTTGTGTCCTGGTCCTTCAGTTTTTGAGTGTTGAACTTGGCTTGTGGCCTATCTGCAGCTCCGGATTCTCTGAAAGCTTTTAATTTGATTTGGACTGTCCCTTGTACGAGATAGTGGTCTGAGCCAATGTCTGCTCCTCTTCTTGCTTTCGTGTCCAGCAGGCTGCGCCTCCGCTTCCTTGAGATTGAGATGAAGTCAATTTGGTTTTTGGTTCGCCCATCTGGTGACACCCATGTAGCCTTGTGAATATCCTTGTGTTTGTATACGCTGCCACCAATCACTAGTTCATTGAAGGCGCAGAAGTCGGCGAAGAGTTCTCCGTTTTCATTCATCTCTCCCAGAGCTTCTCTACCCATGATGAGTTCCCTTCCTGTGTTGTCTGATCCCAGTTTGGCGTTCATGTCTCCCATTAGTATTTCAATGTCACCAGCTGGAGTATTGTCCATTGTTGTCTGCAGTTGTCTGTAGAATTCTTCTTTCGTTTCGAGGTCTGCGTTGTTGGTCGGTGCATAGCATTGTATAATTGACACTTTCCTTCCTTTGGAGTTGAATCTGGCGGTTATTATCCTGGGCGAGATCGCCTCCCATTGCATCAGGGCCTTCGTTGCCGTTGGTGACATCGTGATAGCCACGCCCTCGGTGTGCGAGTGGTTATCTTCTGGGTGACCGGAGTAGATCACTGACTCACCCATTGACAATTTGGTGAGTCCATTCCCGTTCCATCTGCTTTCACATATTCCCAGTACTTGAATTTTGTATCTTTTCATTTCGTTCGCAATCTGGGCAGCTTTGCCAATCTCGTACATAGTACGGACATTCCATGTCCCCACAAAGACTTTTTCTTTTGTCTCAAGGAGATACATCGTGCTGAAGTTTCTGTAGCAGGTTTGTTTACAGGGTGGGGTTGCTAGCCTCACGCCTGAGAAGGGGGATTGTTACATCAATTTATAATTTAGAGAGAAGCGACCTTGTGGGTTGCTCCCCTTAAAAACCAGGAAAACAGGGAATAAACAAGCAGAAAAACACCAGCACGGGAAAATAATTCACAACAAGAAGGGTAGCAAGCGACAACAACAATAATAATATCACAGTCAATTACAGTTAACCAAAATGATACCAAAATCATAGACTCACATAATTTTATCACTAATTGTTCCACTACACTTTTTACTCTGCTAAATAGACTTCAACTTATTTGCTGTAATACTAGCTACCTTTATACTTCATAACTCTTAAGGGAAACCTAATTTCTTAGTCTTTTGTAGTAATCCACTTGTTCACTAGTATGATGATAGTACTGCTAACGATGTCCTATGGTATTATTGTGCCATGTGACCTAATGGGAAGCACTTGTCATGAAAGCTGTTAATGTGCAGCATACTGTATGATTGGGACGGAGTCAAAGCAATCCAATATTACAACTGCAGTCACTGTAAAAGGTCTCAGAGCTTAATGTCAAAAAAGGAGGGAGGGTGGCGCATGCTGATCAGCAGATTTGGTAGTGGTCACAAATGTGAATCGCTCCGATCTGTAGGACAGCAACATGCATTATTTTGGACGCTCGAGAATCAAACATGAGTTTAGATACTGCAAGTTTAAAAAAATTGACTTTGTAAAAATAATTTAAAAAAAAACAAACTAAAACAATAATGACTGTACAGTTTTAGCTTGTAAAAAATAATGCTTTCGCTCCTAACATCTACAAGCCTGCTCAGTTTCTTGTCAAGATGCTATCCCATGGGCCATACACAAGTTCGCCAGACGTCCTACAGGTCACCATATCGAACAGGTTCTAATCCTTCTAGCCACTTCTATCTAAAGTGTCACTTATAAACTTCACGATAATCCTTCTACCTAATTACTATTATACTCTATTTTATCTCAACTTCCTAGGCCTTTAGTAAAGCTGAAATTTACTCTTTTGTTTTTCTTTTTTTCTCATTCACACTGTTCTCTCGCATAAAGTTCGGTTGCTCTGATGGTAAAAAACACAACAACAGCACTCATGTTTGAGAATAACTTTTTTTCATAGAAAACGTCACAGTTTTCTACGGTAAGACCAATATGGTTAGCATCATACATTGCAAATGTGCACTATCATATCAAGTACTGTACAGCTTATTTTTATATTTTTCTTGTAAATATACTTCCAATAATGTATTATTTATGATTGCATTTTATACCACTTTGTAGCTGTGCAGGATTTTCTCCTCTTCCTGAAATAGCGTTCAAGCACGTGGTTGTCGCTCAACTTCGATGGAGACCTTCGTGGAAGATTTACAAATTAACAATTATAAGAATCTGTTCCGATTGCTTGTACTATATAATTCAACAATTTGAACTTTTAAAAATGTGATAATCTTACTATCCCTTGTAAAGGTTGCATTTACCTCAATATTGCTTGGTTATCGTATGCCTTCAACTACGGGTTGAAAACGAAATGAAGTCGATTTTCCTGCGCAACCGTGAGGACTGCTGTTTAATTCAATAATGATACGACATGGGTCAGACAAAGAGTGTATTTATACATATATCAAATATTTAGCTGTTCAAACATTATTAACTTGTAGACAATCTACTATTTGTCATTATATCATACTTGATCGTGCCTGTAAAAATGGCATGCATTTTCATGTAAATTTATGTTTATATGAAAATATAAATTATTATTATTATTAAGAACTTTGTTAAGACGTTGGTGGCTGACACTCAGTATTCGTGCACATGTTGAGGACAAAGTCTCGGCGACCATCTTCAGCACAGAAGCTGGAAAGAACTGATAAGTATATGAAGACAAATTATCCTAATCTTCCTTGTGCGTTGGTGGCATAGCGGTTAGGACGCTCGTCGACCATGCACATGGTCCGGGGTTCGATCCCCAGCCGGCGCACTCCTTTATTTTTGGGAGCTCTTACTCCCGAACTATTCTTAAGCTTGTATACGACATACGTGAGGCCACTCCTTGAGGTGCATAATATCATTGCTCCTCCGCTACTCAAAAGGGATGCTAACATTCTAGAAAGTGTCCAGAGACGAGCGACAGAATGGATGATCGGCCTCCGCAACAAATCATATGAGGAAAGACTGAAGAAATTAAGTCTTTTCACACTTAGTTACCGTAGTCACAGGGGAGACCTCATCACCGTCTATAAGACCTTAAATGACCAGGCCCACCCTAATAAAAGCATCCTGCCATTAAGTGATTATAGGCTTCCACGAGGTAACCCGCTAAGGATAGCACACCAGAGACCAAGGACTCGAGTGCGTTCACACTTCTTCTCGCTTCGAGTTTGCCGTCTCTGGAACGCTTTACCGGCGGCCGTAACTACAGCGCCATCTGTGGAGACTTTTAAGCGGAAGCTGGACAATCATGCAGAAATGCATGGTTTGTGTCTCAATGGCTTATCCTCTTAAAATTTGAAACCAGACTGTCAGTGGATAAGCATACAAGCTAAATCCCCACGACCCGTCCTATCTTCTCCCACTGTACCGACTACCCTATCTTTTCTTTGGTCACCTTTATTATTTCACTTATCTCAACCTACATTATCTACACTACAACCTATTATTATTACTATTCTACTTCTATGACTACACCGAATGACCAACGGGTGTTAGGTTAAACTCCATTCACGGCAGCAACTGAGTCCTAACATACTGCACACTACAAACCACATCTTGACCAATCCTCGCACTACTCCTCTTGCAGTCGACCAGAGCTAAAGCAGTCGAGTGGCGGGCTTTACTACGCATAAGTTCACCGAAGATCTGGAACCTCTACCTTACAATCAAGAAGTGAGCTCAAAGAAATCACTGGTCTATACTAGCTCGTAATCAGGATATTGGATATTGGAAGTTCTGTTTCAAAATCAACACATAACTACTCACTAAAAACTTGAAAAATATATATTGACTTCAGGCAGGAATGAAGTCAAACAGTTCGTTCCACTTCATAACTAAAATATTCTGAGGTCTGAATTTACAGTCGGTTTGTTTAAGTTAATAGCAGTTTGTAACCAGTATCCAACATAGAAATGGCGGCTAGGTATAGAGATGTCGGTGCAAAAGTGTATATTGGTGATCTGCCCAGAGAAGCCTCTGAAAGAGAGCTAGAACGTATATTTCGAGAATATGGGAGGTTGCGTAATGTTTGGGTTGCAAGAAATCCCCCTGGCTTTGCATTTGTTGAGTTCGAAGATGCTGCAGACGCAAGTGATGCTGTTCGCGAGCTCGATGGGACGTAAGTATAAATCCAGTACCACATTTTACGTTTTATCCAGAGTTATGTGTGGCGTCCGTGCGAGAGTTGAACTGAGCACTGGGAAGTCACGACAGAAGCCCTGGGTACGTGGTGGTGGGGGCGGTGCGCGCAATGGCGGAGGCCGTGACAATGGATTTGGTCCTCGAAGATTGAAACCGTTTGATCCTGCAGACAGATGTTACGAATGTGGCGAACGCGGACATTATGCTTACGACTGTCGTCGCCGAGGTGGTGGGCCAGGAGGTCAGAACGGTCGGGGAAGGCCTGATGGCCGAAGAAGGTCGAGGTAATTCACCTTACTCGCATGTCGTCTGGTATGATCTCAGCTCCCATGATACGTTATCAACTGTCCACAGTTTTTCATCCAAGTACAACAGCCTTAGACTACATCAGCATCCTACCTTGCGCCACTAACAGCTTGTTATCGAATGCTGTCCGTAGCGGTGACTCGTCACTAGCACACGGAATGTACTATGAAATGACTCAGCTCCATAGGTACTTCACTCAAACTATGACATCTTGCTTCATTGTGACGGGCATGATCTTTTTGCCCACGGCATCTGTGAGCCGTCGACGACGTCGTCGTGTCTACAGACAGCCTGATTTGTTAACGTCCGTAGAGACCTACAGCTTGTTTCCATTCACGTTTCAACGTGTAAGTGCATAGTTTTGTTAGCATCTATCTATGTAATAATTTAATTTGTTCCTTCCGTCGCCTTATATACATCATTTTCTTTCTACAGGTCCTTCTCGGATCATAGAAGTTTTTCACGAAGCCGGAGTCGTTAATTCAGCTGGAGTCTGTCTACGCCCTATGATGCATTTCTTTTTGAACTCTTCAAAAATACCTTTTCCCAAACGGGCTGTTTAATAAATATACTTTAATAATCATCCAAAGCTCTTTTCAGCCGTCTAAATGAGCTGTACGGTATAACAGCTTTCGTATGTGATTGGAGTGTAATCATTTCAGGCGTCATCATCCTGCAGACAAATTAAAGCTGTTATGTAAGTCAGGTAATTTCTACCAACAGATGAATTGGGATGACTGATGACAACGGTAGTTGAATTCAGCATTGCGTCGTCATACAGCTGATGCAGTTGGTTAGTAAACAAGGTCGTCATCCTTAGAGGAATGATATATATGATTTATTTCAGGTAGGTGGCTTCGTGATGTTCCATACTTTACTTTGTTTTAAATTCGTTAGTGTCATAGTCCTCATATCTTGTCACCTAGGAATTTACATTTCAGGTTTCATTAATAGTGTTCTTGCACCGAGTTGAATTCAGTTTGTTTTCACCCCTTGAATTCTGTCCAAATGTAAGTATTAACTGCATCTCAGCTAATGCATTCTTGTGGAGTATTGCTATAACAGGCACGCCTGGATCTTAGTATTTTGACATGCTAACCGAATGCACTCAGGTACGTCATAGAATTTAGTCGTATGGTTTAGGCACGCAAGATTGCTATGCTGGGTTTTTCATTTTCATGTGATGTTCAGTAGTTAGCTCAGTATAGGCTCGCTAATAAACCACGGAGGACAGCCCTGGTCCTCACCACCAGTCAGTGGTTCACTTCTTTATTTATGCGACTGGGTTTTAACTTAGAACGTCTGGTTGGGACTACGCAGGTTTATGAAGTGACTGCAAATGTAACTCGCGTTAGGCTGACATTATACGGATGTTATAGGTTAGCATGCGTAGTCATCGAAGGTACTCACTGAGACGTAGCAGTTGTGTCGATAAGTTTTCCTGAATATAAATGCCGTTAGGCGCCGCAGCCTAAATTTGATTCATTCGTTTTTATCTGGAGTATCACTGTACATTTTTACCTGCAAACCCTTACTGCATGAATGCAGACAAGGCCTTTTTAGTGAGTAGAATTCTGTGGACTCATTGAGACAATCTAGACAATAGCGTTTACATTACGGCTTCATGGAGTCATCTGTGTAAATGGTAAATAGACATGCATGTGAAATTGGTTGAGTCTGTGATATTCCGCTTATAACTGCGTGTTGTTTGTGTGAGCCAACATGTGGGTGACTTCTACATCTAACGCTCGCCAGCTGGGTCAGATATCACCAATTGCATTCATACAATATTTCTCATCGTGAACTTGTTTTTAACGTATATCGGCCTGTTCTTTTAAACTCTGTTTACAGCTTATGCTTTTCTCTGTTAGAAGATACAGAAATCTTCACACCGAAGACTGCAAATTTTTCCACCTCCACTATCTACTGTTAGTACTTAGTTTGGACTATAAAAGCACAGAAATTCATTTAATAACTTGTCATGGAATTATTGTAAATTAGTTTACTCGATCTCAATTACCCGGAATGTGTATTTTATATAACAGGCTAAGGGCTACACTTATCGTGAATGGTGATGTAGATTCCCAGTAACCTGTCAACTAATAAAAGATAAGGCTGTTTCAGAAGTTTTCTTGTTAATATAAATATATTCTATTTGGTGCAGATCATATTGGTCAAAAGAATGTGTCAGCGATAGGTATCAGTGTTATCAAAATATACTTAGGTGTACAAAATAATTTGAAAGAAATTATTAGATTAACTGATAAACGAAAAAAAGTAAGCAAGTAAGAGAGAGATAATACAATCTCAAAATCATTTGAAAAAAACAAATAAAAAAAAGTAAAAACTATTAACATTTTTAGTATGCGAAAAAAAATAATCAGTTGTAGGTATGTGCTGTATGCATAAAAAGTATGCCTGAGACAGCTTCATGAAAGTATATTATATATTAGTTCGAAAGATAATCTCAATGATTAATGTAATCTGAAAAGACGATAAAAAGAAGAGGGATGAGATTACTGTATATATTACTAAAGTTGGGTGGTCTATTTGAGATTGAAAGAAATGGCAATGTGTAGATTAATCAAGGTGTTTCACATAATTCATTATCCCATTGAATAGCTATTTCATATAGACTTTTATAAACAGGATCAGATGATATTGTAGGATGTTGATGATGATTACAATACAAGGCGTCTATAACAGATTCATCAGTCAACCAACCAGTATAAGGACTAGTACTTGTGCGTGGTGTAATTGACTTGTGATAAGTAGTAGTAGTACATGCATGATTTGGATTTAGAAGATTTCTGTAATAAGATGCATCAAATGCATAACCACCACCATTGGTTATGCGCGTAGAACGATTCCATCGATACCATGCATGAATCCAGAATCGAGGGAAGTGTAGTGGTAAGAGAGCTGGAGTAAGTATTCCTGTCGACTTCTCAACACTTTTTATTAGTTCCATGTAGTCTGATGAATTAGGCTGAACCTAGAATAAAAAAAGGATAGAACTGTGAGTATAGTATGTACACTCAAAGAAAAACGCGGAAAAATATTGCTTTTGAATTCTCCATGGATAGTACTTTTCAATTCTCTTGCTCATTTAGATCGTTCTCATTAGGATTTGTATGAAGAAACTGATTAGGTTCGGGAAAGTAATAGTCGGAGGGCACGACACTAAAACATTATAGTTTGCAAATAGAGAATCAACGTTGTCATATTAGACAGAAGACCATGACTAAGACGACTAGGGGATACAACTAGTAACAACTCTTCGTAGTCCCTCATATATCTGCAGTATTTCGATCAGAGAACTATCGTTAGTAATATTATGTTTTATCATCAGTACTTTGACACAAATTTGAAATCATATTCCGCCAAAAAGTGTATCCGTCAAACATAAAGTCAAATCATCATAATGTTACATTTGTAATAATCTGAAAAGAATTTACTAGAGAGAATATGCGTTGCCTGTACTAACTTATAATCCAAGGTATGGTAGTATTCAAGACTGTAAATCTATGTTATCGTGATAACTAGACGTGGTACACAATAATCTTTTCGTTCCGAGTGGTACATAGGGCTTCAGAAGCAAATGATCACTGCGTTCTATTCTCTTTCCTGACTGACCCTACGGATTAATGCTTCTATTTCTTTCTCGCACAATCTCCAAGTTACTCCCAAACTACCAACTTGTCCCTATTCAGTCGAGGACCTACCATTCACTGGTCAAATCCATTTCGATTTTCTGCATATTTGTTGGGCAATAAGTTTCCTGGTTAGTTCATTGCCGGAGTTTTTTACCGTTAATCTGGCCTTCAGTACCGAGCTAGCGAAGACAGCTGTTGGTGGCCGTTTGCAGCAGACTGTTAGAAATGCTTTAAGATGGTCCGCGTACCAGGTCTCTGAATCATATAGAAGCATTGACTTGATATTAGTGTTGAAAACTAGGACGCTCTTCTCTATTCTGTCTGCGGTCGATTTCCTTACTGATTCCAAAGTAATGTAGATTTGTCTTGCTTTTCTGATCCTGGCTGACTTTGACATCCCTATGCGTCCCACCGTCTGCCTAGTTAGGTGTGAAACACTTATTTCGGATTCTTCCCAATGATGGTGTTTGTTGTTGTCAGTAAGGTATCCTCATCACTTGTGTCTTCAATGCGTCCACCTAAAAGCCTCTCTTTATTGCCTCTTCTGCCATGTGTGTCATTTTCGGTATGTCTTTTGTAACGTGTCACTTTCATAACACTCGGATCAGCTGATGATAGGTGAAATACGTTACTTTGAAAAGAGTAAGGAAGTGGGACTGTGGTCTTACCTACAAGCATCAAGTGCTTAGAAGAATTAAAAACTAAGACGGTTTGTGAGTGGAACACCACTAGCTAGATAATCCCATAACCATTAGGTGAATTAGTGGGTTTTCGATAGCAGTAGGCTGACTGACAAGTGTTGCATTCAATAATTCCAGTGGGTAGGAAATTTATCAATCACCAGTAATCAGAAAATATCAACTACGAAACTAAATCAGAAAGTGTTTCACACCTACTTTATTCTAACTTAAGATTTCTTAAGGTTAGGCACGAATAACGCAATCATAGGATTAGAGATCAAGAAATAGAAGAGTGTCTTTCTACAAGCAAGCCATTTGCACATGATGATTGTTTGTTAACTTGTCGAGAAGTGGCTCAGTGGCTTAAACGCTTAGCTTTCACAGCTAATAGGTTCGAGTTCCACTCCATATCTACTTCAGCCCAAGCAACTGGGTGGTATTATGAGTCTTCACACAAAAAGAGTGGTTCACATAGCCTGATACATGCATAATAACAATAATAGTAGCTTTATGCTGAATAGTGTTTATATAATGTACAGAATTTTCGGTGGAAATCACTGTATAATAGTTTCCCTTTGTCTAGGATCTTCAGATAAGATAGTAACCGACAGTAAATCGCATGACACATTGCTGTCTGACCTGAAGCGGAAACTAATCCGTTATTCTTTGCCTCTATTGAGAAATACATTTGGTTGAAAGCCAATTAGGAAAGGTGCGGTAGGAGTACATTTTTCTGACCCAAGAACATAATAACAGCTGAAATAATTGGAGACTACAGGTAATTAGTTTTATTTCTTAGGGAGTGGCATTTGTACACGGTTTTTCTCTTCAAGTTTAGTAGAAACCTGCAAATCAGCCGGTTGTAAACACATTTTAAATACTTGCGAGAATAGAAAACACCATTAGAGGTCATATTTTAATAGATGATTAAAACAAAATGAACAAGAGGAATTATTTTACATGCAATATAATGATGGAGTATTTTCGTCAGCCAGGTTTCAAACAGGCCGCCTGATCTGTTCTGAGTACTTGAGTTGATTAGTTTTGTCCTGTGGGGGGGGGGGGGTCACTAAATTTTATGGTAATATACGGTCTTTACTTATAGCAATGAGCAGTAACTGATTCAGTGAAACAAAGTACATCAT